CACACACACGCACACACACACACACACACACACACACACACACACACACACACACGCACACACATGCACACTCTCAAGAAACAAATGGGAATGGTATTTAAGATACAAGACAGACCAAACACACATTGACTACAGACAATTGAACGAAATAGTCAATAGAGAACTTGTTGGATTGTAAGTTTGTGATAAGGATTCAATATGTATCATCCAATCTTGACCTAAAGAGCAAAAAGAGAAACATTTGAACAAAATGGTGTAGTGCTGTACTTTTTGTCTCCATGTTGCTAAGATGGCTACTTTCGAGGGCATGGGTAATTACGTCATTATTAGACAGATGGGACTTGACCATTTGCATTGTGGGGTGGAGGCAATATTTTACTGTCACTCAATGGAGGAAAAAAAACGGGAACAACTTCATTTGTTAACATTTCTATCAGGATGAGCATCCACATATAACGGGCTCTTCTTGTGAGTGTGGTACGTTTTGTTTCATTTAGCCCTCTTGCTTTTGCACCGGCAGAGCCACAATATTAGATAGCTACTTAACCTACTTTATCACATCAATACGTTTTTATGTTGCTCGTCTGAGTGCTAGATGTTGTCAAAATATGTATTGATTGCGATGAAAAATAAATAAAATCCACATATAAAAGTCCTTGTTTACATGGATATTGTTATGTTTCGGTCTGGTTACGTTTGGTTTTGATTCCTCATGTGCCCTTTTTTCGCCACCTGTTCTCGTTATCAGTGTCCCTTGTGTGTAACCAATTAGCTCCCTCAACCCTTTGTGTCTTGTCCAGGTGTTTCTCGTTGTCTCGTCACTTTGCTTCTATTTAGTTCCCTGAGTTTCTGTCAGTCTTTGTTGGGTCATTGTGAGCTGTGAGTATGTGAGCATATGTGTGCTCCTGTCATGTTTTGTTTCCTGTCTTAGTTTTGTTTGTGCCTTGTGATTTCCAGGCATTTTTTTTTTTTGAGTACTTAGACTTAGTGTTTTTTCCGTTGTACTCCTGTGTGTATTTTTTGTTAAATACATTTTGGTCAACCACTCTGCTCCTCCCTGCTTTTTGGGGTCCTCCAACTCCCACCTTGCAAAACGTGACAGATATGTCACAACAATATTCAGTTTCTTGATAAATCTCCATAATTCTTCACTCTGACAAATAGCGCAAAAGCAAATGTGATCAAATTTAACTTAAGGAAATTATTTCTTCATCTTATCAAGCAATCTGTCAGCAGGATCCATGTTGTGTTTATGTTGCTGAGTGTTTGCTTACCGACAACGTCAGAGACGCGCAAGGTCTCCTTGAGGAAAATCACAGAGATGAAAGCGCTTGCTGGAGAGACAAATAGAAATACAGTATATTCCCATTAGTTTCACATTGAAGCACGACGATGAACATCGATGCTTGGAAATTATTTTACAATCCTCTGGATTGACTTAAAGTTGATTGATGGAATACAAACAGGATTTGGATGTATTTGGTTGGATGAGGCGAGAGGAGAGTTGAGATTCTATTGTTAGACCGATGAAACTAATTCCATGCCCAGTGCAAGTCAAGAATGGGTTTTGGTATTTTTGGCGCAGTTAGAAACGGGTAATTTGCGTTGTTGTGGGCGTTGACGCAGACAATTTTTTGGGGGGGGGCACCAGTCACAGCGGCTCCTTTCATTCCCATTAAAATCGATGCATGAGAGGCGCAGTCCTTGAGATGGCACATGATGCAACGGATTTGCTGGAGTACATGCAGGAAGTCAATGCATGCAAAGTATGCTTATAATGAATTACAGTAATGACGGGGTCAATGAAGTGATTTCTCCAATGATTTAGAGCATAGGTGTCAAACTCAGGTCCTGGAGGGCCGCTGTCCTGCATGTTTTCCAAGTTTCCCTGTTGCAACACACCTGATTCAAATGATCATATCATCAGCAAGCTCTGCGGAAGCCTGACATTGAATCTGTTCATTTGAATCAGGTGTGCTGCAACAGGGAGACTTGGAAAACATGCAGGACAGCGGCCCTCCAGGACCTGAGTTTGACACCTATGATTTAGAGGGTCGGATGCCTGTGAATGCACTAGATGACATCCCTGTGGGCTGATCAAATTGACCAAAATCACATTAAACTCCATGCACCAATAGATAGACGTGGTTGCAGCAGGTGTAAAGTTTAGATGACTTTCAGACACCGAATTCTCAGGTATGCTGGGCAGTGGTCTGATCAGTTGATGTCTGATCGATTAGGTTTTTCTCTATTCAATCGATATACAGCCGCTTTTATGACCAATTTATGCAGAATACACCAAAGGTGGAAAATTGTACAAACCAAATTGGCAGCTTGAGCTGCCTGTGAAATTTGTCAGAATGCTGAGATGGATGGAGCTTATTACACTTGATAAGAACACCAGCATGATATTCTATGCAGCATGTTTAATGAACCCATTCATCAATATCGGTGTCAAAAAATGAGATATTGAATCGTGTTGCCTCAGGATATGCAGCGAACTGGGACTGACGAGTAGTAACGATTAGTGTTGGGGTGTGACAGAGATTGATTGCAATGCAGGACCACAGACAGGCATCAATAAGGATGCACACAGATGGATGGCCACACGCATACACAAACTGCATAGGACAATCAAAACTAAATTAAGAGGGAAACAGACAAACACAGACAATTATTGAAGCAAAGTGGTGAAATGTGTCATGCTGGGGGGCCTTCTAAATGTCATCTTCCTACTGAGTAAATGACTTTTATCTCAGTCCCGGTGCTATGATGTACGGTAGTAGAAAATAATGACAAACACCAACCAAAAAGACAGACGGGCAGACTGTCACCTTTACAGTTGAATCAGTGACACTAGATAAACACATCAATATGACACACACATATGTGCGATCAAACGTGGTGAAAAAAAAAAGGACACCATTTCTTCACACATCGATTGCCACGTCATAGCAGTTGATCTTAAAAGGCTCCACAAGAAGTGATTGGTCTGCAACTGAAACTAAACCCAAACCACTTTTAATACACAATACATGTCCGTTCAAGCAATAATGTCTATACGACTGAAATGGTGCAACTGTCTCGGAGGCTGGCATGCGCATAATGCTATAAAAGACATTAGTGACTAATTGGAGGGTTCCAAAGAGTCTCTTTTACTGTCACTCGTTAAATATTTCATACAGTGAGTATTAAGGGCACAGATTAGACACACATTAAGGAATACTGTCTGTGCCTCTGGGAGCAGTTGGCTTTTGCCAGGTCACCATAGCAACACCGTATAAATTGAAATTCACACAGCTTGATAAAAAAAGAAGAACGTGACAAAAGGAACCATTGAGGTAAACAGTCCTGTGTGTGTGTGTGTATGTGTGGGTGTGTGCGTGCGTGCGTTTGTGTGGACACCATCAGACCCACATCACACATTGTGTATTAAATCATGGTAGACCACACCTCGGATTGATTGCCAGTCAATTACAGAGTACATTGAGATAAGACAGCTGTCTGGTGTTGCTCCAATGATATCCCTTAGCCTAAATACTTATGAGAGCCCCCAAATTAACTTCAAGTCTACATTTTAGTCTCATCTTCATGATTTTATTCAATATTGGGTTAATTCGAATTCAGTTTGTGTTACGGTGACATAATCGTTCCGCCGCATTGTAAAGTGACCTTCAGTAGAGAATGCCAGCCTCATTCCTCCAAGTGAAGAATTGACATCTATGTCAAGGAGAGGTGAAGCGTAGCTCCGCACAACAATATTTGAAAGGATGCGGTCATACCTAATTGTTACAAGCGGTCTCAGAGGAAAAGGACGATAGTCGCTGGGATATCAGAGTGTCACTTTCGACAGGTGTAGAACAGCCTCATCAATGCTCTTACTCTTGTCGCTTGCGTTTCATTTCCCTGCTTGGAACATTTTTCAGAACTCATCCTTTTTCTTAGTCTTCTCTCACACGTCTTTTCACCTAAACCCACCTCAAGCGCTTGATTTCCTCTTGCTTACTCAGCCAAGGACTCCTGCTATCTGTGCACCCTCCTCACCAAGCCTTCACTCACATGCAAGTGTGTTAGCTTGTGAAGCATATCTAGAGGAAAAAAAACAAACTAAAACTAAAACCCTCCACACACCCTGGATGTCAACACACTGTTTGCTCTTTAGTGTAGAGTGTAACTCGGTGAGTAAGGTGCTCACTGTGTAATTTTTGGCAATGTCAAAGGGCTGAGGTGCTCTTTCAAGACTCAATCATCCTGCAATGGAAATGAGCAGAGTAATTGTTCACAGCTGCGATTTCCTTGCGATATAATTTTTACCTACAGGAATGATCATCAAAATGTGTGCGTTAAAGGTATTGCATAAAGCACTCTGGTAAAGCTAAATTGAGTAGAGCACTGCGGTTAGCCCACCACAAGATTGTGGTTTACTTGAGTGTGTTATTTAAACCACTCAGCCATTTGCAACGCGGCAACACATGGCCATAGGAAAACTGTTTGAAGCATTTGGGTAATTGATATCATTAATAATCATGAGCAGCCGTCACCTCCGTTGTGGTGACTGATGAGTTGCGTGACGTGGAAAAAAAAATGAAGCTGTTTAATGTTTAACCTGTGTTTGGAATGTGCTCAGAGCAGCTGCCAGCTGCATCCAGCAGTTCACACTGCAGACACTGTCAAATGAGCAAGTGCGAAAGTGGAGACAAAAGGAGGAACGGAAACAATATTGTCGTAAAGGAAATCAGTCCAGAACATCACCCTGCCGCGAAAATTCTGTTACAATCACAAGGTCTAACAATAATACGGTTTTACAGTATATGATGGGTGTCATGAAGTAGACAAGGAGCCATTGCCCTCTTATCTTTATCCTAATCGCCGCCGGATGAACCAAGTATTCGAATTCACAAACGGTGTAAGGTCAAAAGTTACATTTGGTAAAAGTAGTAGTTTGGATTCAACTTTTCAGATACAAGGTAAAGTTGCATAAGCATTCATTCATTCATTTTCTGATCCCCTTATACTCACAAGGGTCGCGGTGGGGGGGGGGGGGGGGGG